GCTCATGCCTGTAATCCCAACACCCTGGGAAGCTAAGGTGGGTGGATCACTTTAGGTCAGGAGTTCGAGACGAGCCTGGCCAACATGGTGAAACCCCATCTCTACTAAAAATACAAAAAAAAAAAAAAAGAAAAGAAAAGAAAAAGAAAGAAAGAAAGAAAAATTAGCTGGTTGTGGTGGCAGGCACCTGTAATCCCAGGTACTCGGGAGGCTGAGGCAGGAGAATTGTTTGAACCTGGGAGGCGGAGATTGCAGTGAGCTGAGATTGCACCACTGCACTCCAGCCTCGACGAGGGAATAAGACTCTGTCTCAAAAACAGACAGACAAACAAACAAACAAACACAGATGGAGCCGAGGCAGGCAGATCACTTGATGTCAGGAATTTGAGACCAGCCTGGCCAACATGGTGAAACCCCGTCTCTACTAAAAATATAAAAATTAGCCCGGTGTGGTGGCACATGCCTCTAATACTCAGGAGGCTGAGGCAGGAGAATTACTTGAATCTAGGAGGTGGAGGTTGCAGTGAGCTGAGATCGCACCACTGTGCTCCTGCCTGAGTGACAGAGACTCCGTCTCAGAAAAAAAAAAGAAAACAAATAAACAAACAAAAACAGATGGGAGGCTGGGTGTGGTGGCTCATGCCTGTAATCCCAACACTTTGGGAGGCCAAGGCAGGAGAATCGCTTGAGCCCAAGAGTTCCAGACCAACCTGGGCAACATGGCGAGACCTCATCTCTACAAAAAGGAAAATTAGCCGGGCATGGTGGCGTGCATCTGTAACCCTGGCTACTCAGGAGGCTGAGGTGGGAGGACTGCTTGAACCCAGCAAGGTTACAGTAAGCTGAGATGGTGCAATTGAACTCCAATACAGCCTGCGTGACACAGTAAGACCCTATAAAGAAAGAAAGAAAGAGAGAAAGCAAGCAAGCAAACAGATGGGTAAGGAGCAGTTTGAGTCCTCCAGCTCCTTCCCCACTCAGGTCCAAAATCAGAGATCCCTTCTGACCCAGCATTACCTTGAAGTCAGACCAGGACTAGATTTATGACTCTCAACCCTTGTGTCCGCCGTCTGCCCACACACACACACACCCCCACTGGTGAGAAAGTGGAGGGTCATTCTTTGTAAAAGAAGGGAAGACCTACACCACACAGGAAAAACACAGCTTCACCCTCCAGTAAAGCATTCAGTCTATGAATCCCACCCGCCTGAGTGTACCAAGCTTGTTGAGCAACTTGCTCTTAAGAATGAAAAGGTAGCCAAGGATCACCAGACATTTGAAGAAAGCCACTGCCTGAAAGGGAGTCCAGTGAACGGGGGTGGCAGGGGGGAAACTTGAAGAAGCAGGTAATACAGAGAACAGAAGGAAAAAAAGATATTCTTAGAGAAGAGAAAACATTGCATTCATTCAAAATAATGGAAGGAGTCTGGTGTAGCTCCCGCCTATAATCCTAGTACCTTGGGCAGCCGAGGAGGAAGGATCACTTACACTCAGGAGTGCAAGACCAGCCTGGGGAACATAGTGAGACCCCATCTCTACAAAATACTTTTAGAAATTAGACAGGCATGGTGGTATATGCCTGTAGTCCCAGCTACTCAGGAGACTGAGGTGGAAGGATCGCTTGAGCCTAAGAAGTTGAGGCTGCAGGGAGCCATGACCATGCCACTAAACTCCGGCCTGGGTGACAGAGTGACTCTGTCTCAAAAATAAATAAATTTAGTGCATGATACAGATGGCACTACAAAAGAACAAGGAATAGATGGATTATTCTATAATTGGTGTTAGGGCAACTCTCCACTAAGGAAAACATAAAGTCACATCCCTATGCTATACTCTGTACCAAAGTAAATTCCACATATTTAACAAATATCTGGATATGTTTAAATATCAGATATTTAAACAAACAAACAAAAAGAGCAACTAGAAGAAAATCTAAGATTTCTTTTTACAATTTACTGAAGAAGAAGTCCTGTCTAACCATGTTCACAAAACTAAAAGGAAAAACAGAAAACATATAAATTTCCATACAGCAAAAGACATCAGAAATAAAGTTATAAAAATTGCTTGCATTGAAAAAACTGCATTACATATTTCAAACAAAGTGTTTTGTTATCCTTAATATGTAAACTACATTTCTAAATCAATAAGAAAAACAAGGACTCCAATTTTAAATGGACAAAGGACATAATCAAGCAATTTGCAAAAGAAGCATGAAAGATGAGTAAACATATTAAAATAAGCTCATGTTGCTAGTGGTGTCATATAATTTGAAACAACAATGAGATACATCAGTTGCATAGCAAACCACTGAAGATTAAGCAGATTGATGGTGTTCAGCATAAGGGTGTCAGGGAAACAAGCAGGCTCGTACAAAATCAATGAGAACTGACACGGGCACAATCACTTTGGAGGACAACTGGGCAAAATGTTTTAGGATGGGGCCGGGAGCAGTGGCTCACGCCTGTAATCTCAGCACTTTGGGAGGCAGAAGCAGACGGATCACGAGGTCAGGAGTTCGAGACCAGCCTGGCCAACATTGTGAAACCCCGTCTCCACTAAAAATACACATGGTGGCACATGCCTGTAATCCCAGCTACTTGGGAGGCTGAGGCAGGAGAATCATTTGAACCCAGGAGGTGGAAGTTGCAGTGAGCAGAGATTGCACCACTGCACTCCAGCCTGGGCAAAAGGGTGAGACTCCATCTCAAAAAAAAAAAAAAAAAGAAAGAAAAGAAAAGAAAAAAGAAAAAAGGATTTTAGGATGTAAAGCAGGGCATATCGTTGACCCTGAAATTTCACTTTGGGAACTTATCTTAAGGGAATAACCAGAGAAGCAAACAAAAGATACAACTAAGGATGTGTACTGCCACATTTTTATGATAAAAAATGTGACCTAACCTAAATATCCATTTGTTTATGTGCCTATATGTTGGTCTTCCTTGGGATACTCTGAGCTTCACAGAGGAAGGGACTGTAGGTGTCTCACTCATCTTAGTGGCTCTAGTGTCTGATGTGTCAATCAGTGCTTTAGATATGGAGGGATGAGTTGAGGGAGAGAGAAACAATGTTAAAGATTATTTGGAATCTTTAAGCCCAGTGATTCCTATATTTCTTACTTTCATAACTGGAGGAACTACTATAGGTTTGTCAACCTTTCATTTTGCCAAGTAGGGTCCCTCAGAAAAACAGTAACACCACTTCCATCTTCTACACATGCTATTATCACCCTTGCATAAAAGAAAAAGGACATTTGAACACCAAAAATAGTAGGAAATATTTCATTCAAAATGAAGATCGTCCTTTAAATTGAATAGCTTTAGCTTTCTGAAAATAATGCTACATTGCTTTATGGTTTTCATCTTCTCAAGGACGAGGGAAATCTTCTCTGACAAGCGTGGCTGTATGGATTGACATGCGGAAACTGGTCCCTCATTTTACAAATTGAGAAAAAACCACTGAGGCTCTGAGCAGATACAAGATCTGACTCTAGTTCCCCAGGAGTCAAATAACAGGGGTGGGACTAGAACCCACATCTCTTGGTTCCTGGCCCAGAGCTCTATTCTTTCATGACAGTGCTCTCCACCAGCAATGTGGCTGCACCATTTCTGGAATGAAGAATATTCCCTTATGGTAGGACTTTGGAGATCATTAAACATAACATCTACCTGGGCATAAATTATCTTCAGAAGAGCCCCCAACCTTGGCTTATACACCTCCAGTAACAAGAAACCCACCACTTGCAGTGGCAGTCCCTTTTTTTGTTGGGTAGTTCCATTGTTTTGGCAGTTCTTATTTTCCTGGAGCTTATCTGTCTCACTGTGACTCCACCCAGCAGTCCTAAAGCCGTTCGCCAATCTGCATGAGGATCTCTCAGGTTTAGGAGTGTGTGGCATTCAGGAGTCATCCTGGAGTCTCCTGGGACAAAAAGGGGCCTCTCTAATGCCCCAGTCCCCATCCCTTTCTCTAGCATCCCTCTGCAAGACTGAGAACATACTTCATCTCTTGAATGATGATTGAACCCAATATTCCCAGCCCTATTTACAGACAAGGAGACTGAGAGAGTGCTGTAGAAACCATCAATTCCAATACTCACCACCACCAAGGTCTTCCAAAATGGAGAGAGTTGCCCAGAGTCTCAAGTTTGTAAAGAGTACTCCACAACTTGTACTCCAATCAATGATTTCAACCTCTTTGATTTTACCAGTCTGCCAAGGTCCTGTCTACAAGGCAAGCTCTACCGCTGGCTCTCAGATGATATCTGGGGGTTTCCTTTGCCTATTCCCCTGGTTAGACACACTGTTAAGAAATTTTGATGAATAACTGCATGATCATCTACAAGCTCCATAATGCCTTGGTTTTAATGTTGCAAACAACAGAAATTGCTCTGGCTGATTTTGGTCACCAGTCTCCAAGGTGACCACCAAGGATCCCTACTCCTGGTGGCTGCACCCTCGTGTAGTCCCCTCCCACACTGTACCAGGGTTGGTCTGTGTGACCACAGAATATGGCAGTAGTGATGGCATGTCACTTCTGAGATTAGTTGATAAAGGGCTGTGGCTTTCCTGGCCTGTCAGAAACTGTGTGATAATAAATGTTTACTGTCTTCAGCTGTTAAGTTTCGGGCTATTGATTACACAGCAATAGACAACTTGTAAATTGAAAAGGAACACAGTGAAAGGATTTCAGGTAGTTCATGATCCTCTGGAAGCTGGAGAAGCAGGTGTGGGGTACACACAGCCAGAGCCACAGCCAAGATCATGCTAGAGACCTGATGTGGTGAAGACACTGCTCCCCAACCTGACCAACAGGTGCCAAAGCCTGCACCACCAGCCCTAGCCCATAGCTCTGTTGGACCCAGCTACTGACATTACTGCCCCTGCGAACTGACTGCACTGTACCCCACCCATGCCTGAAAGGATTGTCCATGGTCCATGCTCCCAATTCAAAGTCAGGAAGATGCATCTGATTGACTGAGCCTGGGTCATGGACCAGTGCCTTACCTGCAGGGAGGCCAGGGAAGGGAGTTCGTGTTGTTTCAGCGTATCCAGTGGGCAGGGAAAGGGCACACTCTGCTTCTCCCCAAGGGTCAGAAGGTGGGATGCTCTCCAGCCACTGGAAGGGGAATCAGATGCTGGGGAGCCAGAAAAAAGAGACATGTTTGCTTCAATGTCATCTAGAATTCAGGGATAATTCAATGAGATGCTTTATGAGCATGCCTACAAACTCACTGGGACTCAGTAAATGTTTATCATCCAGATGGCAACCAAGGTGATCTCATGAAAACAAATCAAGTTCTGGGTCTCCCCAGCTTTAAAATAACCAGTGGCTTCCACTGCACGTCAAAGAAATCCAAATTGGAAAAGGCTGGCGGAGATCCCACCCACTTCTCCCCACATCTGCTTCTTGTCCTTCTTGCCACACTGCACCCCGGGCACACTAGTCTTCTACCACTTCATAGAACAAGCCAATTCCATCCTGCTCAGGGCCTTTGCACTGGCTGTGTCCCCTGCCCAGAAATTCTGCTACTCAACTCTCAGTGGGGCTGGCTCCTTTGTATCTAGCAAGACCCCCACCGAAATGCCACCTCCTCAGAGATGCCTTCCCTGTCCTCATGATCTAGGGCTGCTCCCTCACTCCCATGCCACTATTCCCATACCTCCCCACCTTTCCATGCCTCAATAGGAGGGACTAATGGGGGAGATTTTCTGGAGCAGAGATAGGGGATAGTGGTTTGGGCCTCCCAGGGAGCTGGCAGGAGCAAGGCAAGCTGCTTGTCAGTACAGCAAAAAATGGCAACAATGATCTGACCCACAGCATTTTGATCTTAGCCACTGTCAGCAGCTAGATGAGCAATTCCTTGGTCTTAAGCCAGTCCCTCCTTCCTTCCAAGAGATGGATCCCTCAGCTGTTGGGCGAATGGACAAGACCAGAACAGAACTGTGCCTGGCTTAACATAAGGCCTGTGGAATCCAGGTCCCTTCAGCAGCTCTTCCAAATGTGGATTTATTCAAAGCATTTATCTCTTACCATTAAAAAGGGGAACATCTTTAATAAAAGGCAGAGAAAACAAGGCTGAGTCAGTAGGATTAGAAACAGTAAAGTAGTAATAAGAAGGATGCAACTGCCAAAGCTGTTAGAAGGTGGAATTTGGCTCTGAGCTTCCTGGCAACCTGTGCAAGAAGGGAAGACTGATCAGTTACGGAGCTCTTCTTATTAGCAAGGAAGATGCTTGCCAGTTCCTTGGGGAAGATGCAGTGCGTTCTAGTTTTAGTTTTTTCTGGGCACTAAATCCTGATTGAAATTTTGCCCTTGTGGTTTTAGGAAAGGTTATATGTGCAATAAAAAAGTCCTGGTTTTACAACAAATGTGGAAGTGAATCCCTAGTGACCTTTCCTTCTAGGATCCAGGGGACATTTACCTTGGAGCTAACAGGAAGTATGTTTTGCTTGGTGTCATTATTATTAGTAGGGGGTGGAGGGAAGCCCTCAGGTGGACTTTTCCTTTTAAAGAGGTGAACTCTATTCATTTAGAGCATCTCAGTAGCCTTCACAGGGACCTGGAGGTGACTGGGATTGTTAGCACATTTTTTGCAAGAAGAGGTCATATCTGGCCTTGAATCACAAAGTTCTGGTCAGCTCCTTTTTGTGAGATATGCTCAAGGGAGAAATTAAGGAAATATTTCACCACCCATTAGACTGAAAAGCTGCATTATGGAAAAGGACAATGAACCAGAAATGACCAAGAGTAGATGACACTGAGCAATGGAATCAGGCAGACCTAGGTTTGACTCTCGCCCTGCCTCAAACTAGCTGTGTGACCTTGGGCAAGTCTCTTAACCTCTCTGAACATGGTTTCTCTGTCTGCAAAAAATGGTGATGATGACACCCATCCTGGATTATTGAGAGGCTAGATGGTAATAACCCAGAAGGTGTGTGCCATATGCCCTATTCACTTCAATCCTCTTCTCCTTCCCTTTCCCTTAAGTTCTCAGGAAATGTCAGTGGAGCTCTCATCTCATCCCTACTTCTGAGTTTCAGGCCCAACTCAGCCCACAGAGGCACAGTCTCACAAGACGTCTTTGTCTAGACTGCTTGTCTGTGGTGATCACATTCAGGGTCTGGGACCACTTTCTGCCCACATTGACCCAGAGCACGTGTGTCAACCCTCCAACTGCCTGGGGCTTACCTTCTGAGATGTTTCCAACAATTCCCCCAGCCTTGTTTCAGATTCCTTCCTGTGCCTTGGCCTTGACTGTGTAGCTACAGGGGCAGCTTCTTGAGGGCAGAATATAGAAGCCCTGGTCCCAACTCCTCATGCCATGTAGGAAAATACTGGCCCCCAGAGAGGACAAGTCAAATGTTTCAGGCGGCAGGCTGGGACTCAGACCTGGGTCTCTGGATCACACCGCATCTCTCTGTTCCCCACAGCCCCTGGGCAAATCCCAGTGTGACGCCTGAAGCGCTGACTCAGCAGCCTGCAATGCCTGAGGACCCAGTCGCACTCTACAGATGCAGCTGAGGACCTAAGGCTTCCTGGCAAAGGACGCCAGACTAGAAATGGATGGGGAGATTTAAATAGAAAACCAATGCCACAAGAAATTCCCTCCTTACCTCACTTCCAACTTGCCAGCTCATTCTCTTAATGATCTTTTTGCTCTCTGGAGGCTGGGACCACACCCCTCCTTTATCTGCTTCTCTTTTTGCTCTCATCTCCGGTATCTCTGCCTCACCCTCTACCCCAGTCACTGCAAGACATATGTCCAACATCCTGGGCACGTTGAAGCCTCGAGGTCTTTGCTTCTGCTCTTTGCCTTCCTGGCAATGCCATCCTACCATTGGTGGAAATTCCAGGCCTGCCTCTGACATCACTTCCTTGGTGAACCTTTCTCCTCAAAAGGAACAACAAATGGCTCCCTCCTCAGTGCCCTTTCCCCTGGCCGGGCACTTGACATCCAAAACAATGCTCAGTGCCACTGGAGGTGCATTCAGTTATGAATTAATTGAGGTTATCTGCGAGTGCCTTCATCTCTTGGGCAGACCAAGACCTCCTTGAAGGATCTTGTCATTCTAATCGTGGAACCCCTCCCCCCACTCCCCGTCCCCCAGTATCCGACACTCTGCCTGGCACCAAGCAGAGAGATACTCAGGAAACTTACAGTTGCATTGAACTTCATATAATGATAGGGTTGTTCTTGTCTCTTGAGCATCTACTGTGAGTAGCTGGGTGGTGGGCCCTTTACATATACTCTCATGACTTCTTACTCAGAGCCAGGAACGTGGCTACTACTGTACACCACTTTGCAGATGCAAGAAATAAAGGCTCAGAGAGGTGAAACACAGTTGCTCCAGATAACACAGCCAGCAACAGGCATGAGATTCCAAGAAGTTGTGTTTGTGACGCCAGTCAAGGGAAACATATGATGTGGTACCTACAGTGCTCCCTCCCTCATGACCCCCACCGCCTCCAGCTCCACATCCAGATTCCAAAAGCCATGAGCACGCCCAGCGGTCTGACCATGAACGCCCATTTGGGAATCGCCAGCAGCAGAGTTGACAGGGAACTCCATTCGCCTTGGGAGGAGGCTTCCCAGGGGTAGTACGTTCTGGGGGCCGTCTCGGCAACTCTTGCAGGGCTTCGTTGATGTTTGGGGGGAAGGACCGCCTCTCATTGGACAGCGCCTCGCCCAGGCGCCTTCCTGGGAATCACCAAGTGGGGTTTATGGCCCCAATTTTGGAGCCTGCACAGCGCATCCTCCCTTGGTAGCAGAGATGTCGCCATTGGACCACAGCACTTACAGAGGACGCCACGAGAAAGGGGTTGATTGGGGAATGGTTGTCCTGGTTACGCCACCCCGCAGTGTCCCTTGCCCTCCTCCAACACTTCCAGCCCCATCACAACCTGTCAGTTTTCCAGGCGCTCAGGAAAGCAAGTCGAGCACTCAAGCCCTCTGACAATTCCACCCCCCGCCCCGTCTTTCCCTCTCCCCCCTCTCTCTGCGATGTCGAATCCCATTTCACAGATGGAGAAACTGAGGAATCGAGCAAGTGAATGCCGCTTAAACATCTTTTCCAAGCCAGCCAGGGACCAGCCCCTCCAGTTCTCAGAATCTCTCTCCCTCTGTAATATATTTTGATTTGAAGAACATGTGCTATTCGCGACTTCAAAACCGCAACCCCAGGTAAAGAGTTAATATTTTTAACGAACCCCAAACCCCTCACCCTCAGCCTTCGCGGGACGCCTGCGTTTTGCAACTTCAGTTTGCATCTCCAAACTGCTGAGCATTCAAAGGGTTAAATGGGACCGGGAGGGGGCCAGCCGCGGAGCCCTGAAAGGGTTAAAAATCCAAACGCGTGGACTCCCCCCCGACTATTTGGTTCCAAATGGACAGCCACAGGACCGTGAGAGCCAGGGAGCCCCCCTCGCAATGACTTTTTTAAAATTTGAGAACTTTTACTTCCGACCCCAGAAAAGTATCCCAGTTCGAAAGTTCTCTCTTAACCTTTTCTTTTTTTCATCATTTTTTTCTCGATTTCTCCACGGGCTGGATTATAAAACGCTCCCTCTCCCTTTGGGTTTGGGGAGCCGGGTTCCCCCCTCCGGGCAGGGCGCGGGCCGAAGAGGCCCCGGGAGTTTTCTCCGGGGCCGGGTCGGGATGCGGCTGGTGAGTCCCGGCTCCGGCCCCTGAATTGGGGGGTCCGCGTCTGCCCCAAACGCCGCTTTCTTCCGTTTTCCATGTCATTTCCTGTACTAATAAGATGGTGGTCAAAGCAGGGGAGGAGAGCAGCAGCGAGTCGCCGCCGCCGCCGCGCCGAGGCTGGCGCTGAAACTTTGCCTCGCCGGGGACCAGCGCGCCCGCAGCGCGGCCGCTCCCGCCGCGGGGGCCGCCAGCCGGGGCAGGCGCCTCCGCAAACGAGCGCCCGGGCCGCCGCGCGCCGCGGCTGCCGCAGCATCCGGGAAGGTGGAGTCAGCCCCGGTAGCCAATGTGGCATGAAAATGGCTGCTTCGAGAGCGCTCGGCAGTTTGCAAGCGCGCGGGGCCGCCGTGCGGGCCGGGACGCGGCTGGGCGCCGGGCGACGGGGGCTCCGGGGTCGGGCGCGCGAGGTCCGGGCGGCTCGGGCGTGGGTGGCGGGGCGGCCCCCGGGGCCGCGAGGTGGGTGACCCTCCGGCAGGTAGGCCGCGACCCGGCCGCGCGGGGCCGGGGCGCCTCCCTCACCTTCCTCCCAGTCGCGTCGCTCCTCGCCTGTTACAATGTGCCTTTTCTTCGCGCACGGGCGCCCGCTGACGGACGTGCCCGCCGCCAATGGAAGTAGAGGCGGCCCGGGCTGAGCGTCGGAATGAGAGACGGTACACGGGGCGGGGCGGGGCGGGCGCCAGAGGCGTCGGCGCGCAGGCCGCCTAGTTCTCGTGGACGCCCCGGCCCCGCGGGAGGGGCTGTCTGGCGGGGGTCTGGGGATAAACGGTGGGAGGCATACCTTTGAGATGCGACGAGCCTTCTCTATCAAGAGTTCGCGATTGCCCGCGAAGCGTGGCCGGGCCAGAGGGGGTTTTGGTGCGTTTTAAGTGTTAGTTGCGGGTGTAGCTCTTCGGGAAACCTCTCCGGAGCGTAGCCTCCACCCCACAACCCTACGCAGTCCCAGAGGTTACTCTTCTATGCACGAAATGCAGAAACTTAGCTGCCAATGAACTCTCTCTGCGGTCAAGGCGCACCGTCACCTAGCGATGTCGCTGCAAGAGGAGTTCAATGTCTTGGGCGATGCTGTTGAAAAGTGTCGCCTGGTGCTGTGTCAGAGACCAGTGTTTGGGAGACTGCGGGGCTTAGACCCCCCAGGCTGGGGCTGGATTTAGGGTGGTATAAATTAGTGAAACTCCTCCTCTTCTCCTAGACGTTTGATTCGTGTGGGCAGAAAGGACCCCGTCGCATGCATAATTTGAGTGGCTTGTAAGGACAGCAACCTGCTCTGTGCGTGGCGGCCAGGAGCGATAATGGGGCAGTCTGTCTTGGTAAAATGAAACCCTATAAACTATTCGGGGGTTAAGGGCGACGAA